GTATAGCTGCCCTGTGCTTTCTCTTCTTTTCAGGACTCTGGGGAGTGGTGAACAACGCAGGCATCCTGGGCTTCCCCGCTGATGGTGAGCTGCTCCCCATGAGCACGTACAGGCAGTGCATGGAGGTGAATTTCTTTGGGGCTGTAGAGGTGTCCAACACCTTCTTACCATTACTTCGGAAATCCCAGGGGAGGCTGGTTAACATGTCCAGCATGGCAGGTGAGCTGAACTAAAGCACCAAATAAATTTGTGATGCAACAGAAAAAACAAATAACTTCTTGGCAAAAATGCTGAGGAAAGTGTTGGTTGGGCTTCCTTGTCAATACACCCAGGAATTACTATTTAGGTAATAGGTGCAGGCTTTTCCTTTTTTTTTTTTTTTTTTTGGGGAGTTTATTTCCAGAGAAGAGCCCTTAAAGAAGAAGAGTTTAATATGGCTAAAAATATGCTCTTGTATAAAAGACAGTAAAATTTAGATCTTGTGTTATAGATGCCATGAGCGATAGCTTTGTGAGCTTCCAGAAAGATTGGTGGCAAATCATAGTTGTTTCTATAACATTTTCCAGCAGAAGTCTGTGACCACCTCAGTTTGTGTGTCATTGAACCACGCTGTGGAGATGCCCAGAAGCTATCTAACTTTTGCAGAGACAGGCTCTCTTCCATTTGGGCTGGTTATACCTAAAGTATCCATCTTTTTTTTTAATACTTTGGGTTAAAATCAGAGCATAGATATCTTTTGGGTAAGTTCATGACACTTGCTATTTGTAACAGTCTATAATAAATGTTAGATATTTCACTTGGGCAGCTCCACCTCTCCACCTTCGTAGGTCTCAAGTACTACAGTTAGAGAGAGAAAGCAAAATGATAAAACACCTGCTGAAGAGAAATGTTTAATTCAAGAGCAGAAGCCAGGTTGTTTTTTGGTGGGTTTTTTTTGTTTGTTTTCTGCATCCTATGGCTCTTCCCAGAGTGCACAGTCTTAGAGTGTGGTCTGCTAATAACCTGGGACCTGAAAAGAGTGTGTGGTTGTATTTATTTAAAAATTTTTTTGATAGATTCTTAAAAATACTTTAGCCTAACTTATTAGCAAAGTAGTATTTTTTAATGAATAAAATAACTTTAAAAAGTTATTAACAACATATAATATACTTTTCAGTTTTTTTCCCATAAGTTGCATCCCGTGCTTACTATATATATATGCCTTTATAACATGACCACCTATTCTAGGAGGACAGCTGATAGGAACTGAAGTAATACAGTATCTGGTAGCCAACAGCTGAGGAGCAAGAATGCTCCTTTGAAAATGAGACCTGCTAGAAGCAGGGTGTCATGATGCTGCGAAGTATTTTGGTTTAAGACCTCTTAAGGATTTACCATATTATCTGCTTCCCAAATTTTCCTTTCCCCTGTCTGCTTGGACCCTTATTTTTGTGCAATTGGTGTCCACCTGAATCCTGCTCTATTGCCAGGGTGGCTTGTAAAGGTGTTACCTTGTGTTCATGACTTATGTCAAGAATGTGGCCTCAGCCTAGCTCTGACACTGTCCTCTTCTGTTTTGTTTTTATAATGCCAAGTATATTTTGTGTCTACATGCCTGTGTTTATTGTTTGTTGCTGACACTTAAAAAAAATCAGGACTGAATTATCAGAAAGACCTTTCTGGTGCTGCTCTGCCCATCAGCCCTTGCAAGCACAGAGGCAGAGGACAGACCTCTGTTTTCTATGAGCACCCAAGTGCAGCTTGCACTTTTGGTGTTTTGGGTCAGATGTCTTAATTCTTGGCATGAATCCTCAAGCTGCCTTGCAGGGATAAGTGGAGAGCTTCTCTGTGCTGAATAATTTACCCTTACAGGAGTTGATAATGACCCTGCTTAAACTATAGCTGTTAGCACAGATGTTCTGCTGCTCTGGGTAAATAGCTTCTTGGTAACGCAGGGTCTGAGGGTCCTTTGGTAAAACATTAGCAAAAAAGTTAGTGAGGTCTCATTGTGCCGAATCCATTCCTGTCTGTGTAGAGCTAATTTAACTGAACTTGAGGTTAGCCTGACCTCAGAGGGAAAAAGTACGTGATTCCATTGGCTCAAACCAATTGGAACTCAAACTTACTCAGATGCATACAGAAGAATAATTAACATATAATTGGCCTGACTTCTTCAAAGGAATGACTCTGTGTAAGAAGCTCCCGTGATACCTTGGTTGTTGTGGTACAAAACCCAATAAACAGCACCAGTGGCTCACCTGAAAATTCCTCTATGTTGAAGTACTTTCTTTAAAATAATTCAGATATATTGAGATAAATGTGTAAAGTTTGAAGCAGAGGCCGTACAAGAGGATGTGCCCAGGTGCCCATGTGGGCAGGAGGACTGATGTCCTTCAAGGACAAGGGTTGTCCGTTCTGTTCCCTCCTCCCTGCTGTGCCAATGCAGCCTGTGGTGGCTGTGATGACCTCTCAATCTGGCAGTGATACTCTGTCTGGTGATAACACCAACCTTGTGGGGAAAGCGGTGGGGCTGAAGAAGGGGAAGATGCTCAAATCAAAGTGTCTTTGGATCTTTCTAAAGCTGAAAAAGGATTGACAGTCTGCTGGTTTTTGGAACAGAGGAAATCTCTGTATTTGGACGATATTATTTTCTGGAAAGTTTTGTTTTATAAACATATGGATTTATTTTAAATTCACCTAAAATACTGGCTTTTTTCTACCTTTCCCATCTGAACAAATGCTACTGCAATTGGCGAAGATGGGATATAGCTATAGGCAGGGGATTTGCTTCTGTGATGGGTCTCAGGAAGTCCTGTCACCCAGGAGGCATTATTTCAGCCTTGGTTTGTTCACAGAGGTTTTCCCCACTCTTGCACTGTTGTATCTGGTCTTTCTGAAACTAGTTGGGAAGAACGGGAAGATAAGTTGGCTTTATAAAGGTAGAATTGAGATTACTTATCCTGTTGTAACTGTGGTTTACAGGAGGAGCTTGAAATTAGTGTTACAGCGACAACAAGAACAGCGGCATTAAACTATTGCTTCACTGTTTATGTGAACTAAAACATTATCTGGGTTTCTGAAACCAACAATCATAATTTTCAGGAGTTTTTACCCTTAAATGCAATACAGTTTATTTTTTCTGCCATACAAGGTGTCTTATCAGGTGTTACTGAGCGTAACTGCTATAAACAACTGCTAATTTACAACTTTCACTTTTTTTTTAACATCTAGAAAGAAATGATTCCCTCACTGACATGTCTTTAACCTCAGTGAGAGCTGCATAATTTTGGTTGCACTATAATCCGCCTTCTAAATCACAAAAATAAAGGCTGGAAAGAGCCACCATTGAGGTTTATTATGTTTATATTGCTCCTGCAGGAGGCATTCCACTACCAAGGTATGCTGCGTACGGTGCATCAAAAGCAGCTCTGTCCATGTTTTCTGGAGTAATGAGGCAAGAGCTTTCCAAATGGGGAATTAAAGTTGCTGCAATTCATCCGTCAGGCTTCCGAACAGGTTGGTATTTGACATTTTGTGTAGTTCTTTCTG